CACAAGGTTTAGCTAACGCGAACCATGATCGTAATAATTTTGCCCGGCATTCAACCCTTAATGTACATGTTAGAGTTGACTCTAGCTTCAGAGGCTTTGGACTTTTCGCTTTTCTGTTTCTGTAACTTCAATGTGCGGTTCGGAACCAGTGCATTTGAGTTAAAGACCTGATAAGACTTGTAAAAGAAAGGTAAATTATTGGATTTTTATAAATATATTTCCATATCTTATCTATTTTGTTTTCTTTCTTTCTTAGCATTATACGCGAATTTAGTGGTTTCCACTCAGATTCCTTCGCCTCTCTTGAGAATATAGTTGAAACCATGGCGTTCGGACGTCGGGGACCTCATATGAAGTAGTTGATAATGATCGTGGAAAATTTGAGAGGAATGCCCAGAATGTGTCGGCTGCAGAATCTCGTTTTGTGGGCGTGGCTCGAATTGTTTTCACTCCTACCTTAAGAAGTACCAAGTCCTCCTGGCAAATTGGTCCTATCATGTTTTTTTAGTTCCGACAAATACCCTAAAAGATAATGCTTTAACTCAAACGTTATAAATGGATACGTTCAAATAAGCCGTACCAATCTAAGAAGGTGATGATCAACCCCATCACTTTTGTCTGAAAGTCTGCTTGGTCGCTACACCCTGTATTCGTCCACCCGCCCTTTTTCCTAAGATGGAAAAGGTGTATGTAGAAGAGCTTAAACTCTCTGGCAATGCGAAAGGGCAGTGTTTCTATGGTACCACTGACAAACAAATTTTGTTCACAAGGGCAAGAAATTGGTCGTGTCACTGAACCCGATCCAGCCTGGAGAGCGGGAGGGACAACATTACAAGGCTACAGTACACAACAGTTCATGACTGCTGAACCAATCAAAGTGGATCCTTCAAGGAAGGTTGAACTGGTGCTCAGGCTTGTGGCAAGGTGATATTGAAATTACTCACGCGTATAAACATACTGTCTTGCCTCGTATCGACAATGTCAAATTTTCCTAGCTAAATATATGTCTGAACGGAGTTTCAGAAGTCCCTGTAAAGTTCAACATTCCTTCCGAATTAAAAAGCAAATATGATGTTAATGCAAGGACGGTAAACTCCGCTTTCGCAACCCATTTACACACCAGCCGAGTGTGTAAAGGTATTACGAACGCGGCATTGATCATTTTTGCTTCGCAGTCACCCTTAGCGTTTTTGGAATTTTTACATCATATTTGCTCGAGGTAAATTTTAGTAGATCCAATTTTTCGTTTTCTTGGTCTCTATACCAGTCATCGAATGTAGTAAGACGACGCTAAATGGCTCTTTTGGCGATCTTGTGAATTTGTTTTCTTTTTTTTTTTTTCAGGGAAGACGAGGAAGATTTAATATTTCCCAAAGATGAGTGCAAACCGCTGTCCACTCTGTATCCGCCAGCTGTTCCAGAATAGAGAGAAACTGGTGCATAGTAAATGAAATCCCGTATGAGGTGCTGGCTGACTCACTCGTTCATTCGTGGACTGACTGACTGAGTGATCTGATGATTAAAGTAACTAACTGACTAGCTGACTAACTGACTAACTGACTGACTGACTGACTGACTGACTGACTGACTGACTGACTGACTGACTTACTGACTAACCGACTAACCGACTAACCGACTAACTGACCAACTGACTATCTGACTAACTGACTATCTGACGAACTGACGAACTGACTAACTGACGTACTGACTAACTGACTAACTGACTAACCGACGAACTGACTAACTGACTAACTGACTAACTGACTAACTGACCAACTGACCAACTGACTAACTGACTCACTGACTAACTGACTAACTGACTATCTGACTAACTGACGAACTGACTAACTGACGAACTGACGAACTGGCTAACTGACTGACTGACTGACTGACTGACTGACTGACTGACTGAAATTGCAAAAACTGAAAAGTGAATGAAAGGCGTTTAGAATCAAAAGTGGCCCACCTGTTTGCTATAAGGATAACCATGGCAAAGGTGATGAGACTGATGAGCTCTCGCTTGAAGTTTACATTACATCCTTTCAAGTTACAATTCTAAGAATGTATTAAATAAATCTATAGTAGTTTTAGTAATGCGTCTTGCCAATTAGAAGTTTTAGTTAATTCCTATTTGGGGTATTTTAACTCTTTCGCCCTCCTTCCTCTTTTGTTCGAGAGTAATTCTAAAAAGAACTGTTGGTGGTGATTGACGTTTTGACAACCTGAGCGGAATTCCTCTTTGAACAGGGTCAAGTTATTCAGTACAAAGAGAGGATGACTTGGCAATTAACCGTCGATAACCCTTACCCAAACTCATACCCCTGCTATGGTACAAGGTAGTGGGGTGGTTGATTCGCTGTACTAGGACATGTCAAAATCCTTGTGTGCTCACACTAGATGGCCCTTGGCTTGCTCTACAAGATGGCAATGGCAATGTCAAATGATGCAGAGAAACAGTTGAAGTTTCAAAATTTCGGTAAAGGATGAACGGCGACTGAAAGTTTCAGCACCACAGACTAAATCCCCTTGGATAAAAAGACGCTACATACATATAGACAGACATACAGACTCACATACAGAAAGACAAACAGACATTCAGTTTATTTGTACACGGTAAAAAACATCAGTTACAAGGTTTAAATTAAAAATGTTTACCCGTGTGGGAGTATGAGGAGGATATTAGGTAATTGATCTCATTTTTAAAGGTAATAAGAGATCTAGTGGCTTCAACGCTAAGTGGAAGGCTATTCCACAGAGGTGCCCTACTGTAGCTAGCCTGCGAACGCAGACGTATATATTTCAGGCTTTCACTTGGTTCCGCCGAAAAATAACGTCTGCGAACCCGAGCCAGGAAACGATTTCTGTGACGTAATGACTTTTGTTTCTCCTTGGCCAATCAGATTCCATGATAGAATGAAACTCGAGTGCTCCTCACAGCGAATACCTCGCGCAGTAGTTGTGGGGTTATTTGAGCTAAACTGTGATTGGCTTAGAATTCCTACGTCACAGAAATCGTTTTCTGGCTCGGGTTCGTAGACGTTATTTTTCGGCGGAACCAAGTGACAGCCGGAAATACGTCTGCGTTCGCAGGCTATACTGTAGCAGAAACTACGTTTAAAAAAAGTCGGTACGGGGTTTGGGCAAAGCTTGCTTGTTTTGTTTATTTCTAAGTCTATAGTCCATGCTGAAGTGATTAAAAAGACCTTTCAAGTAGTTCGGAGTCTGATCATTCATTCATTTAAGATTTTGTTTTTTCCTTCTGATGAAGGTTGTCCCATCCTAGTTTTATACTGCGGAGGGCAGTAGCACTAGAATGGTGTAATGAGACTTGGTGATAGTCCAAAGGGTGCGATTTGTAGGTTTTGTAATTTGTCGGCTTACTCGTTATTGTCGAGACCGTCACCACTAAATTTTCTCCGATTCTTATTGGTTTAAATTGATCACGTGACGCCTTATTAGTATCTGGGCGTTTGTCTGCTTTCCTTTTCAAATTTTACATTTGGCTTTCACGGCTTTCATCTAAAAAAGTTGAAAATAATTCATTATGATGCTTGAACTGGCGCGCGGAAGAAAATTTAGTGGTGAACACAGTAAAGACAATAGAGTGTTTTATGTCTCGGAACTATCGGTCTGATAGTTGTCCCTTGGAAATTTGATGTTCTTAAAACTAGCATATTAGCCCTCGAAGCCTCGCTTCTTGGGCAAGTATTTGTTTTAAGAACATCAAATTTCCGCGGGGCAACTATCAGCCGATATCATTGTTCCTCGACAGAAACACTCTATCGTTTAAATATATATAGCCGTATCTCATCAGCCCATAATAAAGTTTTTCAGCTTTAAAAAGGCTATTTGATTTACCTGTCTTGTATGACATAAAAGGAGGCATATTGTAAATCGTTTTCCGCAGTAGCAGAATTTGGATGAGACTCAATTTTTGCATTAGTATCTGGATTTGGCTATACCGTCACGGATTTGACTTGCAATTGTCAAGGATTTGACAATAAATTGCCACGAAATTGACTATAAATGGTCACGGATTTGACTATAAATTGTCACCGACCTGACGTGAGGGAGTGAATATGTGAAGGAATCGTCGACTGGATCATCGTCTTGTTGGTCTGAACTAGGGGTTGGATTTCAATTAGTCCATGACAACAAATTGGTCATAAATCGTCACGGACGGTCGTCACGGGTTTTATGACTTTTATCAATACCCGTGGTCTTCTAACTTCTCCTTCCGAGAGGAAAAAATCGTCATATCCCGTTGTATATGGCAGTGTGCGATAATCATTAAAACTAGAACCACAGAGCCATTCCAAACGGAGCAAAGACAATTCTATTATTTTCGATTATCCCTTAGCGACCTTTAGCGGCCTGCCTTCTCAGGGGCCTTATATGGAAGAAGCTTCTGAGCTCCATGTACGTCATCACACTTTTTACATACGGGGAATCCCCTAAAAAGACTTTCGCTTTGAATAGCAATGGCGTCCGACCTTGTGCAAGAAGAGAATTCCTTGAGCCCTTACAGAAAGCTACTCGTCGATTTATCGTTCGATCTTTCTAAAAAAGACCTCGAGACGTTAAAACTCGCTGGCGTCGATATCATTCCACGCAGAATAACAGAAAACATTGCCACTGGGTTGCATTTCTTCGATGTTCTGGAGCAAGATGGAAGAATTGGACCGCGAAATCTAGACCTTCTGCAGGATATGCTTAACACAGTTGGCAGGCTGGATCTTGCTCGGAAAATTCAGGCTTTTTTGACAACATCCGCGAACAGTGGCACTGACGGTAAGATATGAAGTTCGGATACCATATTTCAATCAAGCAAAAGACCAAGATTTTACGAAACGCTGTTTCCGTAATTTGATTTCGTGTTTTTTCGGAGGTTGAGTCTCACATTTAAAACTGTAGCAGTGTATTAACTTATAAAATTAGGATGGGAAACCTTGAATTCCACATTTGATCGGCGAGACCTTAATCCTGACCGAAATTAAACACCCGCCGCTTATGTGTAAGCAGTCGCCACGGTTAGCTTTCTTAGCCGTAAAGGAATTTTCAGACCAATAATCAATATTTGATACTCGATGACTGCAAAAATCGCTTTTCGGTGCTTCTTGGTAGTTTAATGACATTTACGTGTTCTTGAAGCTGGAATTACATGTATAGGAGATATCTTGAAGCCGGTAAATCCAGCATACTACTTTTCATCTAGTGTGTATCCATTCGTCAGACGTGTTTTAAAATATGCGCATATTCATGGTACTGTCGGACAGTATATTGGACACAATATAAAATTATGTATGTCGTGATCTTGTTTTTAAATTAAGATGTTGGAACAACACTCATCGTCGCCATCTTCTTAGTTCTCTTTTGAGCATAAATGGTTATTTACTTCAAAAATATTTTAAAGAAGTGTCAGTCCTATATATCCTTGGTACTTCTTTGTCGTCAAGTTTGAAAGTCTTTTTAATTAATTAAGGCTGCCGGTTATTTATGTATTTATTTATTTATTTATTTGTTTGTTTGTTTGTTTATTTATGTATATTTATTTTTTACAGAGTTTCCCGATGGAGGCTTTAATGGTGCAGAAAATGGAAGTCTTCCAAACCATGCAGCGAAAAATGGCAACCCCTCTGTTAACGACACCGAAGGTAGATGGCCTGATAAAATATACTTAGCACATTACTTCAGTGGTTGGGTAAAAGGGCTTATTAGAAACATGACGGGAAGTGTTTATCATTGGTGGTTTATCATTGAAATCCAAAAATACCTGTCGGACAGAATACTTGTTTAAGTAAAGTCCACCATTTTGTCTGTCAGAGCTCGATTTTGCCCGGTCTGTCAATCATTTTGAATTTCACTTTTCTGCACTGATGAAATCGCACTGATCTGGGATTAAATGACATGTTCTTAGCCAATCAGAATACAGAAATTCACTTGCTTGTACATTATTAATGAGTGTACTGTATGCAGTTTAGCACAACTGTTTTGATAGAGCTCGAGGGTGAAATGACGTTTTCAGAACCTATAATTTCTAGTTTTGAAAAGAAGAATGATTAAATGAGACACTTCAGCAATAAAACTAATCTACTGAACTTCTTTTGCTAATCCTGACTTGTTTATTTGTTTTAACTTTCTCTCAAAAGTTGATCAGATGGCATGGCAGGATGACTCAGTACCAGACGGCATCGAGGATCACCCTCCTGTGAATAATGTGGCTGGATCAAGACAAGGTGGAACACACAACACAAGCCAGTTTAGAGGAATGGGTCAGTCAGCATTTTGTAGTCACTGGCCATGATTTTGATTTGATGTCCTGTATATAAGTCCTTTAAAAGAATTCTAAAAAAATTATTTTCCACTTTAAATTGACAGCCCTGGAACAGGTAGAAGCATCCCATCTTGTTCAGTCGCCGTTGGACAGTTCGGATCATGCTGGTGGTTCTACAGTGGTTATGAAAAGTGGTCAAGTGGGAGCTGCTCCACAAAGAGGCCACTTTCTTGCTGCTGTAGGTTATACCTCATCTGATGGGAACATAGGTGGGTTGAAATTTAAGGATCAGCTGATGAACAAATTTACAAGAAAATTGAGACGTCTTTGGTCATGTTGTAACAAACCTCTCAATAGATTTGTGAACAAAAGATGAGAACATCACAGAAAATTCCATTGACAGAACGTAATTTGAAAGTTTCGTTAAGAGGCCACATCCTTAGTTTTGGGATTGAAACTAGCTTCCCCTTAATCCAGAGGTTTGCGGTAATCCGATTCAAAAATAGCCTCATTTCATCTGAACTTGAAACGTCTCCTTCATCGGGAAGCTTAAATAGGGTGTTTAAACTCTTCCTTATGTCTTTAGGCTCCTCGTCGAATGTCAGTGGCCCTGGTACACAGGCATCTTCAGGAACACAGACGGGACAGCAACATATGGGGATTCAGGGTAGCTCGGCATCTGGTCGGATCAAACATGTTGGACCAGAGCCCACTCGATATGTAGATTTTCTCGCTTGTCAAGGCTACGTTGTGGAAATATTAGGTGGCAAACATTTCAAGACTCCTGAAGGCGAGTTTGTGGAAATGAAGAGTGGGACGCAGTATAAGATACACGTGAAAAACACACATGCCTACGGTAAGAATAGCCATATGAACTTACATTGCCGACACAACTCAGTGTACAACCTGTCTTTTAAACGGACGAGACTATTACTGGAAAAAAGTGCATGATGACATACTATAGAATAACAAGACTGTTTCAATAAGTAAATAATCGCGAGGCGTATTAGAATAGACGCGCATTCCAGCATGACATGGTCAAGACAAGTAAAGCATCCGATTATTAACAGAAATCGGATACGCTTATACGATCTTGTAACAAAGATAACCGGCCAAATGTCCGTGTCTTCAAAATAATTGATAAAACAGTCGCAGGAATAAAAAAATGCGAGAGATCCGAGAAGATTGTCGTCAAGGGCTCTTGGAGAATAGATCTGCGTCGCAGAAAAGAGAAAACACAGTTCGACGCGCAGCTTCCCAAAAGGGCGAATAGCCAGCCAGTACCTATCAAACTCTAATTGATCAATCCTGATTACAAACACATTAATTCAATAAAACACAGCTTAGCTAATAGAATTTAAAAGCTCATTCAAAATTAATGTCTCCATTCCCTGTCTACAGCTTGCAATTTGGATGTATCTATTGATGGTTATGACGTAGGAGGGTGGGTTGTTGATGGGGGACAAGAGTTCACAATAGAGNTGACTGACTGACTGACCAGCGGACGGGCGGGTTGACTGGCTGGCTGGCTGGCTGGCTGGCTGACTGACTGACCGACTGACTGACTGACTGACTGAATGGCTGACTGACAGACTGACTGATTGACTAACTGAGTGACTACGCTGACTGACTGACCGACTGAATGTCTGTCTGACTGCCTGACTGACTGACTGACCGACTGCCTTTCTGACAGACTGAGGTGACTGACTGACTAACTGACTGAAATGTCCGGCTAAATGACCGACTGACTGAATGACTGACTGACTGTCTGGCTGAACCGACTGACTGTCCGATTAGCAGAATACCAGCTGACAAACCTGAGGACTGATGGACAGACAAATAGATAGTTCGAGTTACTGACTGACTGATTGACTAACTGAGTGACTGTGCTGACTGACTGACCGACTAAATGTCTGACTGTCTGACCGACTGACTGACTGACTGACTGACTGGCTGACTGGCTGACTGGCTGACCAGCTGACTGACTGACTGACCGACTGACTTTCTGACAGACTGAGGTGACTGACTGACTAACTGACCGAATGACTAGCTGACTGAAATGTCCGGCTAAGTGACCAACTGATAGACTGTCCGGCTGATCTGACTGAATGATCGCTCGACTGACTGATTAATTAAATCGAATTAACTTTCACATATATACGTCTTAATCAACAGGTTTAACATGAGAACCGCTGTCGTATTCGTGATATTAATCAGCTCTTTAGGTATGTAGATCCCAGTCTCTCTCCTGCCAGAAATATGTCTGTATGTGATCCAGCATGAACACAGTCTAAGGCCAAATGAGTCAGTAATGAGTTGCTCTGATCATAAGCTATCCCATTAATTTAGTAATTTTCCTTGAAGGTTGCTTTTGTTGTTGATCACGATACTGTTGTTACTGACGATATTGGTGTTGTTGTTAATCTGAGTTGGAAATATTTGTGTTGTCAATGATGTGAAGATGCTTCTGTTGTTGTTATTTTCTTTTGTGTTTTGTTTTGTTTTGGTGTTGCTGTTGTTGTTTCAAAGATGTTTGCATTTTCGATAATGATGATGACGATGATCTTTTATTGAGGCTGTCACTGATACTGTTGAAAACACTTAGATGATTTTTATTGTTGGTTGGTTATGGATGAGTATAGTGATCAGAATACCTTTTCTATTTTGTTAACAGAGGGTTTCTTGCCAGAAGAACCAAGTGTTTACATCCAGGTATCGTGGGACATGTCATGGAGACGATTCTGCTTCTTTATTCCTTTATTTCGTGAAGAAGTGTCCAGGGAGCTTATCGAAATGAAGTCTGACAATTCCTATAAAGTAGTCAATGAGACCAGAGTTCGCTTGATGAACGATAAAAACAACTGTGCAGGTGAAGGCAGTGGTGACGATGCAGTGGTCGAATTCTTCGTCTCAAAAAGCCAAAATGATCTCGGTGCTTCAGATGTAGATAGGAACATCACGATTCGTGCTTACAAGATTCTCCACGACTACTGGAGAAACAAGAAGATGGTTCTTTTGGATCCTATCTTTCTAGGAAAGGTGGAGTTGTACTGTACACTGCTTAGAATAATGAACATTGTATATGTCTTATGCTCCACAGAGTAGCGAAGGGAATAAAGGAACATAGAATGAGAAGAATGTCAGGGAAATATTTGCTATGAACTTTGTGTAAGCAACCACGCCCAGATCACAAAAAGTCTATTTGAAAATATAAATCTACACTTTTCTAACAAGTCTGGCAAATCTCAGTATCAATCTAGTATGTGTGCCGGTCATATTTAAGTATCCTCAGCTTAACATGACCGAAGTGCAAGTGATGTTTCCTTATTTCTAATCTTTGGTTTTGGGGTACCCCAATATGAAAAGGTCGGGGATTCTCGTCGTCTCGCTTAGGGGTCTAAATTAAGGATTTTGGTCTCACTTAGGGTGTTTAGGACAAAACGCCATTATTTTTAGCTGCCAAAACATTTTTAAGGGTGCACTCGAAGTGATAACAATTAAAAAAGCTCTATCATTTCCATTTTTAGACTCGATTACCGCCGCTTTGTCGAGACCGGTCTACTAGCGCAGGCTTCTTTCCCGAACAGCGGCTGGTAATCGAGCCGCTCCCGTTTTAAGTGGTATATGCCACGCTCAGATTGGTCTCCTTTAGCGGTTTAATTCAAATTTTCCGACAAGGGTCCCCGACCTTTTCATATGAGAGAGTCATATGAGAGTTCCCCCCCCCTCCCCTCCGCTCCCTTGGACTTGTGGTCATTACTCTACTATCGCAATTTACACATACTGAATGAAAAACTACTGTCACGACAGGTTAACAAGGTGGAACTAATGGGAACAGACAAGCCAGATATTCCAGAGGGTCTTTCAGAAGCAACAAGAGTCGGAATAGGAATCGTTGTTGGTCTGGTGATAGCATTTACAATCGCTATTGTCTTCCTATGCTTGGTAAGAGCCCCTTAATTATTCAGTATCTTTCAAAAGCTTGCGCAAAACCATCCTCACCTCAGTCACGGTATTTTGAGTTATTTTGGCCACAATCAAAATTACCTTTAACGGTTAGGAAACCTGAAAGTAATAATTTACTAAGATAGAAAAACACTAAACGTGATGATAATAAACCATAAAGAAACAAGGATGGTTAAGGGTGGAGAAGATTAACACGGATTACAAACGACGAATTTGAAAAATTTAGGCTGAACTTTTCAAAATGCGCAAACCGTGACCTAGCTCCTTTATTTCAGAAAGTACACAAGTCGTATATAATTTTAAGGCTTAAAGGAAACATTGACATGTTTTAAATTTGCTTATTTTAGCTTATTTCAATAGCTTTCTTTTTAACATAAAAATGACCCTCAAAGAGGTCGAAATGAGGTTCGTTTATATCGTTACTGAGTTTTTAATCGTCAAATGCTTGTCAATGAAGCTCTTTATAAGAACCAAGAATGGCATGCCGAAAACAAGAATAAACGTACTTCGTTCTGGTCGAGTTCACAGCTCGACAGCTACTTAGCAGGTAAGATAGCTGGGATAGCCAATCACAGCGCGGGATTTGATTCATCTTACCTGCTCGCGAGGCTAGCCATAAAGTAAATCTAAATCTCCTCTCCAAGGAGATATTTCAACAGATTTTCTTTTTCCAGTCTGCCAGGCGTCAAATGAAGCAGAGACCGCCTCATGGAATTCCACTAAATGTTCTACCATCTGAACCCAAGATAACAATGGTTGATGATCCAGCGGCTTATGATATAAACAAACAAGATGACCAACAGTATTACCGACAAGATGAGCCACAGTATGACCAACAGTATGACCAGCAGGATGGGTTTGCCAGACAGAACAGCGGTAGCGTCCATGGGTATGCTGTGCATCATAACACGAGATACGATGATGAACCTTTGGTAAGCGACATGAGATTACAACATTGTGCAACTTGGATTCGGCTTGAATACATCTGTACTTGCTTCAACTTAGCTATTTGCATGAGACAATTGCGACCTTGACAAATTTAGTTTCTCCTTTTTAACTGCCTTCTTTTGCGTCACGTGGGTCATTTCGTGCAGTCAAGGGAACAGATCCCTGTACTCCATGATAAATATTTAAAATCTATATATGATCACTTTTAGAGACCTGCGAACAATGAAATAATTTACATATCGATACATAACGTCTTTCTAGAACTTGCCAATCAGCTAGCGACCTTAAAACAGCAGAACTAAGACTAAATTCAGGGCTCGAAATTGCGACTCACTGGTCGCCAACGCGACCAAAAATTGAGCACTGGCGACT